TTGAAGACTCCATATTATAATGATGTCAACTCTTCCCAAACCAACCGATAGATTAAATTAAATCCCAATCAACATCCTAGCAAGTGTATGTCTGTGCATGTGTATGTAAATTGATTAATTAATTAAAAAATGTACGTACAAGGTCCAGCACAAATAACATCCTTTTATTACCAAATCTTTTATTATAAAATCATAAGCTTATAATTCTATAACATAACAATATCATGCTAAAGCATACCATATGACATTTTAGGTGAAATGCTCAAATTAAAACTATAAATTAACATTCATATTATTACTCTGCCAACCACACTGATGCAGTCCTTACTTTTGCTGGCCTCTGTATAATTAGAAAGGTCCACAAGTAGCCAAATGATCTTATAGAAGGAGTGAAATGTGTTAAAATTTGGATCATGTGACCTGGCAGAGTGGCTCAGTTGGTTGGGCATCACCCCGCGAAGTGAAAGGTTGCTGGTCAGGGCACATGCCTGGGTTGTAGGTTCAGTCCCCCAATGGGGCGCTTATGAGAGGGAACTGGTCCATATTTCTCTTCCGCATAGATGTTTCTCTCCCTTTCCCCTTCCCTTTCCTCCTCTCTAAGAATAAAATCTATTCTTTAAAAAAAAAACACTTGAATATCATCCAAACTAAGTATTTACATCATCTTTGCCTCAGTCTTTACACCTGAAAAATGGAGATAACAATATCATTTAGATCACAGGAATGTTTAAAGAATAAATGAGTTAATTTACATAAAACCCTTCTGGCAGGTCCTGGCACACAGCAGTTAAGTGTTAGTTGGCAGCGATAGTAATTTACTTTCTGAGGCCATTTAGAAAAGGGAAATAACCAGATGGCTAGACCTGCCATTTCCCAACCTATGTGCATGGGGGCAGGGGCTAAAGAAGACAGTAAGTAGAACCTTGAGAATTTTGTAAACACAACTACTCACCCTCTAATAGATCTGTGTCCTGGAATCCAACTGAATCAAATTAGTAATTCTTCCTTTTGGGAATGAGCTAAGAGAGCCTGGAAAAAAGGGTCTTTTCTACCCCCACAACCAGTCATTTGCTAATTTCTATGCTGTAAATAATTCCACCGTGGCAGATGTCAATAAACCAATGACTGGTGAAATTCCTATGTATTTAATAACAGGATCTCAGGAACTGGTGCGAGCCCCCTGCCGCACACCCCCGCAGTTTCCATTACACCGTTGAACACTCTGAGGCCCAAACACATCAGTTTACTTGCCATAAAGCTACACAATTAATTGCTAACCCTAGATTTGAACTTAGAACCTCTACAAAAAAGTCACCAATTTCTTCCATGTGTAGTCACCATGTTTTGAGTCTCGTAATTGTAAGAGCTCCATACATATGAAATTAAATTTGTTTTTGTCCTGTTAATCTGTCCATGTCAATTTAATAATTAGGTCAGCCAAAGGGCCTAGAAGGAAGAAGGGAAGTTTTCCTCCCCTACACCCCCGAGCTAGTGATACTCAGGCACAAGTGTGTCACAGAGTCAAATGGAACCAGTCAAAGGGAATTCTGGGACTTGGCTAGAACAGTTGTGAGACTACCGGCCAAGGTCCAGAGATGGTGTGGCACACAGGCTGCTGGCCACGGCCTGGCCTCTCCAGCAAACAGATCAACAGGCAGGCTACCCGGGGCTTGATTACTTTGAATAACAAACAATTCTCCAGCTGTGGAAAACTAGAATCCCGACTGGCACTGAAAAGTCTAACTTTTTATCCAGCTCCCTGACCTGAATCAGTTCACAGATCCAGACTTCCTTAAATGACACACGATTGGGCCCCGCTGTGGAAGAGTCCTGCTCTGGTCACAGCTGCCCTGTCAGCCTCTTTCCCAGCCATTCTCCTAAGAACCTGCAGCCGTTGCCAGAGCTGACGCTGACCCCAGCCAGGAACTCTGACCAGCATCAGCCTTTGCCAGTCTGCATGGCAGTGTGTGGAGACCTGGTGATAAAAGGAGTTCTGACCCAGTTTCGCATCTTGGCCAGCCCAGTGGGAACCGGCCCTTTCCTAGGGTATTTTAACATTCTGAGCTGGACACTTTGGACTCAGCAAGGAGGCTAATGCCCTTTGGTTCCCCCAGCCACATCTCATGTGATCCTGTTGCTTATTTTGTAATATTTCACATTGCTTTCGGTATGTTTGCTAGCTCTTTGTCTCTGATTAGACTATAAGGGGCTTGAAAGCAGGAACCATGCCGACCTTATACACTGTTACTTTCCCAGAGTCTGAACAGTATTGATCATATACAGGCCCTCAAATGTTTATAGGTCAGTCAGTCAGATGTCTTTCCTGGAAGAATCAGAGATTAGGCCACAAAGACTTCAAGCCCACTGCATGTCCTAATTCCTAACACCTCTCCACCAGCTCTCCGAACTGATCTGTGCAAAATGGGGCTTGCAGAATAACTGCATCTACCAAAGACTTAATCAAGTAGCGAGTCCAATTACAGGGCTTTCCCAGCTGTAGTCCTGCTGCTGGAATAAACAAACCCAGCTCCTGGCACTCTGGAATAAGCTATTGATCTGGCCAATGCATCTTTCTCCCTTTTGATTAGCATAGAATGCCAGAAGCAATTTGGTTTCAACTGCCTGTGTTAATGTACCTTCAGAGAGGCAGCCTTACCAGTTCTCATGATTCAGACAGAGAATGAAACCCCAGAGCCAGGAGGATCTAGGTTCAGATCCTGGCTCTGCTATTTACCACCTGGGTGACCTGTTTCCTCACCTGTAAAACAGATAAAGGTACCTACCTCAAAGCATTATGATGAACTAAATGAGTTAACATTGTAAGGTGTTTAAAAGGACATCGTGCACACACAGTTAAGTGCTATGGAAATGCTGGCTGTAACTGCTACATGTTGCCTCTGCAGCTCCAAGACATAATCAAGTCAGCAGGTGCTTGATTAACTCACCATCCCTCCGGACATCATGCTGGCTCACTGCAGGTGAGCCCCTGCTGAACGGATCTGGGCAGCAGGACATGGCCAGCATCCACCTCTCCGTTTGTTCCCAGAACTGGAATTATATAAATCCTGTAGACTACAATGGCCTCTCCTCCAGTCTGTCTCCTCTGACCCTGGGGGCCTGGGAGCTTCTGACAGCACCAGTATGACCTCCCAGCCCAGAGTCTGGACTCACAAACCCTTCTAATAGTGGAAGAGAGCAGGCGTGGAAGATAAAGGAAAAGGACACTGTAGGAGTCAGGAATAAGCTGTCATCATCAGACCAGTGAGCACACCTCAAGAGCAGGGCCAGGGCCAGGCAGAGTAGCTGGGCTTCCAGAGGAGGCATGGGCGGCCCCTTCTGCCACACCAAACTTGTCCAATCACTGCTGACGCTCGTATTGGGATCAGTGGCTTCCAACCTTCCTCAAGCTCCAATTTTTAAATTCCCAGGGGCACCCTTGTGATTGGAAAAACGCACCTGAGTATTTTTGCCATGCTTCCCCTGTAAGCACCACTTGGCCAGGTGCCTGCAGCTCCACTCAGATGCACAGCCAAGGTTGGAGCCAGGCCCCAGTCTTGGGAGTAATCTGACTCAATCCTTCCCCATGAACAACTTTAGGGAAGGGGATTCCAAGGGACCTCAGACGTCCTTGTTAAAGACTCAGGATGGCAGACACAACCTCCAGGGTCTATGTGTAATTATGTCCAAACTTGGAGCCCAGGGCAAATGCTCCAACGCATGGTACATTATGCAGAACACTGTGAACACTTGGGACCCACTCAGGATATCCAAGCATTTTCGAAAAGCTGTGACCTCATAGAGGAGAAGCCTGGGGTGCACGTCTGAGTCACAGCCCACCCTCTCAGAGGACTAGGAAAGTGAGGCTGAGCCCTGGCTGAGTAGCACAGTGGGTTGCAGCATCATCCCAGTGTGCCAAGGGTGTGGGTTTGATCCCTGGTCAGGGCACATATAAGAATCAACCAATGAATGCATGAATAAGTAGAACAAATCAATGTTTCCATCTCTCTCTCAAAATCAATAAATATTTTTTTAAGTGAGATTGAGCTTAGCAAGTGTGTGGAAGCTAAACATGACACATGAACACACTGGTCTGCTGGTGTACATATGCCCTCTGGGTACGTCAGGAGGTTGGGTCTTCCTGCTTTCTCTTCTGTCATCCCAGTTATTTCTATCTTAGAATTCTTGGTCAAAAGTAAGCAGTCTTTCTCAGTGTGGCAGAAAAGGATCATTTTTTCTTCTTTTTTTTTATTCTCACCTGGAGGACATTTTTTTCATTGCTTTTTAGAAAGGAGGAGGGAGAGGAAGAGAGAGGGAGAGAAAAACATTGATGTGAAAGAGAAACATCAATTGGTTGCCTTCTCATACAGGCCCCAACCAAGGATCGAACCCGCAACCCAGGCATGAGCTCTGACAAGGAATCTAACCCATGACCTTTCGGTCTACAGGAAAATCTCTGGCCAACTGAGCCACACCAGGGCCTCCAACCAACTGAGCCAGGACCTCACTCTTTCTTCTTAAGAAAAAAAAAAGTGGCAGAGACAAACCAATGAGTCATGTGGTGTCCAAAGAAAAACCAAATCTGGGGAGTCAGGTGTCTTGAACAAATGGTTCCCATCAGAAAGGAAGTATTTCTAGAAAACAGACTTAAGTGCATACTCACCATTAACCTCCGCTATCAGGCCACAGGCCTGGGGTAGGCTCCGCAGCTCCCCAGTAAGCAGTGACAGAGCTGAGTTAGAGCAGCTCCCGAAGAGCGCGCGGAGCGCTAGGAAATGTGACAGGCAGGCTCAGAAGCTCAGGTCTGCACCCACGAGAGGCCTCTAGAGCGAGAGCCAAGGAGCCTTCCACTGCTTGTGAAACAAGTCATTTTCACTAAAAGCATTTTAAAAGTTCAGTAACAACTCAAGTAATGATGGTCTCATATCAAGAGCAATGAGCCAACTCAATGAGCAGGAAAAGAGTGCCATTCATAAAACTTGAACAACCCAGACAGCCACCTCTGTGTTTCACTGACGGGCTTTTATTAAAACTGTATATAGATCTCATACTTCAACTTTAAAAAAAAAACAAAACTTCCTTTTGTCCTAGTATCAAAATAGTTACCTTTTTTAAATACCCTGAAAACCTTTAATACAGTATTTTGTTACCCATTAAAGAGTCTCCTAAAATCTCCATCATCTCGCTCTCCTAGAAGAGGGCAGTAGTAACTGCCCTTCTGGTTTCTACCACTTCTGGTTTGTTTTTGCATCTTTAATGTTTTATCTCAGAGAAGCATTAAAACAGAAAGGTTTTCCTGTTTTCAACTATTTAAAATACACACAAAAAAAAATGAAATAGGAGAAGCAAATGACAATATTTGATTTGATACTTAAGATTCATACCAACTAGGCTTCCCCACAGAGTTATGGTGTAAGGTTTGCCCACATCCAATCACTGTTTAGCACAGGTTCTCAGGCCCTGGAACTATTTAAACACAGCCACAGTTCCTGCCCTGAAATAGTAATGATGGCCCAACAGTGCTCTCTAGTGTCCTGTAAGGATAAAAGCAGCCAGCAACACAGGAGGATAATTGGATATGAGGTGTTGGAAATCTAGAAGTGCAGACCCAAAAAATTTTTATTTTTCAGGGGTCACAAGACAAGTGGCTCCCCAAAATCACAGGCTGCCTGCAGCTGCACAGTGTGGAGTTGAGAGAACACCAGCTTTACACAACACTGGACTGCCTTGTCAAAAGCTGGACTCTGGTAATGTTTTCTTTCGGTCTAAGGAAAGAGTGTGGTATTTCACCTTTTTCAAGGTCCCCAAGGAAGTCTGCTCCCCGGGAACACTCCTCTGAGATGTGCTTAGGACACTGGCCCTCGGGGTCAGGCTGGCCTTGCGTGGGAGGTGGAGGGAGCTGGGCGCAGACCGGACAGTGCCCTCCAGGTGGCTGGCCAGGCCCTTGGCCAGGCTGTCTGACACCCTCGGGCAAGAGGGCGAGACTGGAGTCTGCTCACTCACAGCTGGGCTCAGCCTGCCACTCCCTGGGGAGACTGGGGCCACCCAGGGGGCTACCTCAGCCCTGCCACTCTTCTTGTTCTCCTTCCAAAACACCGACCTCAGAAGGGTGAGGGTCCTCTGTGAGAGTCTGTATATCTCGGAGTCCCTTCCCTCCACCTCAGCCCTGACCTTTGCTGAGGAATTTTGACAAGTGTCTGCACTCGCCACAGTGCTTGACGCCTCCTTGGGGGAAGGCGCTCTGCCGCTGGTCCCCGCCTGGCCTGTTCCCTTCCAGTTCGCAGTCCTCTGGTCCTTCGGCTGGACTGCTCTCTCATTCTCTGCTGAGGGCATGACCGTGAAAGGCAGGTCAAACTGCTTGGGAACCCTGGCATCCTGGCTGGCATGTTCCTTGGGTTTCCTTGCTGTGTTTAGACCATCCGAGGTTCCAGGGACTGCATGGTGGCTAAGGTGGCCCGACGGGCAGGGTGCTCCAGCCAGTGTTCTCTTGTTGGCTTGCTCCCCGTCTCCACCCTTAGCAGAAACAGTGGTGTTTGACCGCAGCACAGTTGCCTCCTCACCCCCGCCAGCGGCACCCGTCAGCAGTGGCACGATGGACCGGCTCGTAGATCGGGGTCTCCGTGTGGACTCCAAGTACTCCACCAACTCGACAGATGCCACGAGTGGCTTCTCTCTGCGTCCAAAAGACCACCGAAGGGGCATGGTGGTGAAGGTCCCCTGCTTGTCTCGGGAAGGAGTGGGCACCTTCATGCTGATGCTTCGGCCTTTTACACCTCGTACCAAAGGCCTGGACTCCGGGCCTCCTGAAAGACACACCAACAGCATTGGTGCCCAACTGTCCCTCCAGCTGCAGCAAGAGGAACAGCAACGCCCGTCACCGGACGAGCACTGACTGAGCACCTCTGAGGCATTAGGCCCTGTGCTGGGCGCTCGGGATACCACGGCTCCTGCCCTGGGGGCATCACATGGTCACTCATTATTCCACTGAACCCATTTACGTATCTGAAGCCACAGGGCAAAGCAGTGCCAAAGGGCAAAGAAGGAAACCGGCCTCAAGCCCAGGCTGTGCAGGCTTCTGATAAGGCCCAGTCCCTGAGGCAGCCAGCCCTAAGATTTACATTATTTTCATCCATTTTTAAGTATTTCCATGAAACAGAACACTCAGCAAAATTTTATTTGCTAGACATGTTTTTCCAGGTCAAATTAGGTGCTCATACCTCTCAAATGCAAGAATCTCAGATATGCTACTCTGGGCGGAAAAGAACAAAAACGGACTGTGTGCTGCCATATATGCCTCCTTTGGGTGTTTTCAACGTCTGTGTACAGGTTAGAAAGATGTTTTTGACACACAGTAGTACCTCGGTACTCGTCGTTGATTCATTCCAGAACTCGTGACCAGTGCGGAAACCAACGAGCACCGAGTGATGAAGCATCTTCTCTTGTGGGGCGGTGCCATGACTCACACAAGCCTCAGCCAATGCGGCCAGCCCCGGGCAGGAGTAAGGAGGGATGGAGCCGACACACTCCAGCCCTCCAGGCTGTCACTGTAAACTGTTAAGTGAGAAATAGTCTAGAGAAACAGAGTGTAACCCAACTTGCAAAAATATGTATTCATATATGTGTGCAAATGTGGATGTATACACATGATGCATGCACGTGAAAACATACAAAGAAGTATGGAGAAATAAATACCAAAATGACGAGCTGTAGGGAGGGTGATGGGGGTGCTATCACTGATTTTCCTCTCAGTTCTTTTCTATATCTCAACGTTTCTGAAGGAAACATGTAAAGCCAAGGGAGCATATGTTTTTCTTAAGAAACACGTGTTCAGTTACAAAAACAATTCCATTTACAATAGCATCAAAGAGAATACAATATTTAGGAATTAACTTAGCCAAGGAGCTGAAAGATTGGTACAATAAAAATGACAAAACATTGCCAAAATAAATTAAAGAAGATGCAAATTAGTGGAAACACATCCCACATTCATGGATTGAAAGACTTAATATTGCTAAAAGGTCAACATTACCCAGAGCAATTTACAGAGCCAATGCAAGTCCTATAGAAGTTCCAATGAGGTTTTTTGCAGAAATAGAAAAACCCATCCTAAAATTCATATGGAATCTCAGGGGGTCCTGAACAGTCAGTCACAAAAAGACAAATCCTGTAGGATTCCACTTGATGAGTTACTAGCGTGGTCTCTGTCAGAGAGATGGAGAGAGTGCAGGGCGATTGTCAGAGGCCCGGGAGGCGAGAACAGGGAGAGGGTGCTGAACAGGGAGAGAGTTTCAGATGAAGAGTTACGGGGATGGACGGTGGCGATGGCTGCACAACAGGTAGATGCATTTAATACCACTGAACTATCCCCTTAAAAATGGTGAAGATGGTAAACTTTGTTTATTTTGTGTATTTTAACCCAATGAAAAAGTAAAAAAAGAAAGCCAGCAGTCACTGTACCACCAAGACACCTTGGTTTATGGGATGCCTGTGATCACCGAGGAAGAACCCTCCCACTGAGGCGCACAAGCCCCGTGGTCCAAGGGCAGTCAGTACAAGTGCTTGAGGAAGAGCCCAAGGTGGCCAAGCGAGCTGGAGCCCATGACTGTCCTCTCAACACGGGATCAGCTCCAACAATGAGCCAGAACCACTGTCCCCAGAAGGCCCTTGAGCCATGGCACACCAGCTGGGATGTGCCATGTGGAGAGGGACCAGACTGTCGAAGCACAGGGAGAGCTCAGGGAGAGCTCAGGGAGGTCAGAGGCAGGTGGTACAAGGGTCCCGTGTTGTCTGCAGGCAAAGGGAGGGGCAGCACACCTGGGCCAGGCTTCCCAGTAAGAAATCTCGAGGCAGGGGCAGTGGGACTCCCATGAATGACAGGATGGATTTCAGAGCATCTCAGAGGCTCCTTGAGAGCTTTACCCTTCAAGTTTTTCACATATCATTTTTCGTACTTTTTTTTCCCTTTAGAGCATTTCTTTAGGGTAGCCAGCAATAGACACCATTGCACCCAAAATACTTTGTAATTTCAGTTTGGATTGATGCCATTGCTCCGTCAATAAATTCCCATAACTCAGAGAAAAAAAAATGTTCTGGGGTCAGAGATGTGTTAAGTTTTTTTCCTTTTCCATAGCCCTAACAAGGACAGAAAGAGAAGCTTTGTGTTAAGAGGACAAATCTGTGACTTTCAGCCTTTCAACTCAACAAAACGCTGCCCGCAGCCCTGGCAGGTGGCAAGTGGCTTGGCAGGGCCCTGCAGCACTGGCCTCCCGCTCTGCCTGGTGTGAAGGGGCGCACCGGCCCACATCACCTCCGCACCTCCGTTTCTCTGGAGCCACGGACGCCCAGACGAGTCCTTTCTCAAGCTGGCAGTGCCAGAGCACCTTTGTTATCTTTATTTTATTTCATTCTATTTACTGGGCTACAACAGGAGCTGAGAGTGAGCCAGAGCTTTAGATAAACAGGCAAATAAACTGCAGAAGTACAGAGGGAAGAGGAAATGCAGTGTTTAGTGCTTACCAAATAATCTTGCTTCTGGGGGAGGGGAGAGTAAGTCCCAGTGCTCCTCCCCAGAGGTGCTGGGAGCCAGAGGTGGAAGAGGTGTTCAAAGACCTCTGAGCACTGGTCCTTCTCCACCCGCCCTGCATCCCAGCCCCATGGAATTTGAGACCTTGCTCACGACCAGTCTGGCCTGAGATCAAGAAAGGGTCTAGAGTCTTAAGCTACATTGACAATACCGACAGTTAAATTTTTCCTGAAGGTCATATAAACTCCAGAACATACATGATGAACTTCCCAGGCCCATGAAAGACTTCCCCACACAGAGGGCGCCCAAGCAGCTGGTGGGTGAGGCCCCCAACACAGCCCCACCCACGCAGTGGCTCAGGGGCTTGCAGAAGCGGCCCTGGGAAGTTCCACATCTGTTCCTTTGCAACTTTTTATCTTTGACCAATAAAATCAGGTGTCGATTGGGCCTCACAGTATGTGCTGTGAGCAGGGATGGGGGCGGGGCTCAGGGACCTCTCCTCATCATCTGTAGCCCCCTGCAAGAGGACTAGAGTTTTCCTAATCTGTGCCTTCCATCTCTCCACCAACTTCCACTCACTCATGCATTCAGTAACTATTTAATAAGAGCCTACTGTGCACTAAAGACAGTTTTCAGCATGGGGGATACAGTTGTTTAAAACATTCAAAGTGTTTGTCCCTTATGGGGTTTGACAAAAGACAAAAATATACAATCTCACGGGATGTAATGATAAGAGCTACAAGGAAGAGTGAGGAGGAGAATACAGGGAGGTCAGTGAGTGATGAGAGACCTGAGTGAAGGGAGGGAAGAAGCCGCCTGGCGATCTGGGGAAAGCAGGCTCCAGGCAGAGGGAGTGGCAAGTGCAGAGGCCCTGAGGCACAGGTAAGCTTGGTGGGTCAGGGAAGCAGGAAAGAGACCACCATGGTTGGAATCAAGGGCGAGAAGGGTCCCTACCAAGGGTCTTCATCTTCTGAGCCCTGGCCTCATTGGGAGACAACATCTCTGTCTGGAGTTGCAGAGTGCAACCTGGGGCAAGCCTGATCCACAAACATTTAGAAGACAAGGAGAAGCTACAGATGAGCTAGGCCTTCTTCCCCTGAGACTCAGACCCAAGGACAAGGTTGGCAAGAAGAAAGTCTGGCTCAGGAGCTGAGGCCACTGCCCCTTCCCCAACTCCAATAATCTCTGCTCCATAGAGGGTGGAGGGGAGCCCCACAGGGAGAAGTAGAGAAGTAGAAAAATAACAACTCACATAAGGGGGTCCAGTGATCAGAGGATGAGAATATGCAACCATCAGCACAGTCCCTTAATGAAACAGAGCCACCAGAGGAAACAAACAGATTAAATTTAAAGTTCTCAAGGAGATTCAAGTGTGAAACAATGGAAGACTGAAAATACAACCTCCAGGTTTTTTAATTCAGTAAATTAAAACATTCACAGTCACTGCTGGAACTCAAATTAGTGGCCTGAAATTATTTTGAAATTTATGAAATTTGTGAAAATCCCATAATTGTGAAAGCAAGATCTCATAGCACACAAAATGACAAAGAGAGAAATCATAGGGAAAAAGTAGGAGACTTGGAGGACAGATCTAGGAGACCAAATAGGCAAATAATAGGAATTTGATAAGTAGGTGAGAAAATAATTAAACAAATACCAGAAAAGAACATTTCTCTAAGGAAAAGCCTGCATCTGTAGAAGGAGAGGCCTCCAAGAATTTGAAGCAGGTTTGATGAACAAAACACACACCTAGGCATGTTCTGGTAGAATTTCTAAACTCCAAGGTCAAAGACAGAATCTTAAAGGCTTCCAGCCAGAGAGAACAAGTGACTCTCCTGTGAAAAAGAATGGGCTTCTCACCTGCACCCCCGAGGCCTGGAGGACCGTGGGAAAGCATCTACAGACGCCTGAGAATAAAGACTGCAACCCAAGAGTCCTCCAAGCAGCCAAGCTGCCATTCATTCCCAAGTGAAAGAAGATACCTGTGACTGCACAGAGAGTTAGAGAACATACCATGCATCCTCAAAAGAACTCTGACCAAACTGAGGAATCAGAACAGAGACCTCACGGACACGGACAACAACATTGTGGGGACTGACTGTGGAGCAGGGGGTGGGCTGGGCAGAGGAGGGCAAAGGGGGAAAATTGGGACAGCTGTAATAGAATAATAGTGAAATAAAATAAAGATAGAGGGGAGGGAAAGCAGATGGTCAGTGGTATTCAGTGGACCATCCACCCACACGTGGGTCAGATGATCTCAGCATGTGTAACATTGTGTTA